TTTTTTTTTTTTTTTTTTGTACTGGGGATCAAACTTGGGACCTTGTGCTTGTGAGGCAGGTGGCAGAACCACTGAGCTAAATCCCCAGCCCTTGTTTACAAATTCTGCATCAGGTGACAAACATGACTGTCCTTCCCACACAAACTCAAATGTGGTCATCGTTCCCAAAATTGTAAAACAAATTAAGTTTGTGAACCAAGGTACCACTGTATTTTATTAGTCTTTTACAAATAGTGTACTATTACAATGTCTTTACAACAGCTGCGCATGGTGGCACACACCTGTAATCCAGCATTCTGGGAGGTTCAGAAAGGAGGAAAACAAATTCCAGACCAGCCTGAACCATTTAGTAACTTAGTGAGACTCTGCCTCAACCAACCAAAGGACAGGGGATGTAGCATAGTGTCAAGGCCCTGAGTTCATTATCCAGTACCACAACAAATGAATGAATGAATGAATGAATAAGATATCTGCATACCAAGCTCTGCAATGGTACTGGACAGAGATGAGAAATCATTTCTGACCTGAAGGTGCTTACCCGCTCAGGAAGGGCAGATGGGTGGAGTACAGGACTGGAGAATTAGTACAGAGATTGGTACAGTGTGCTGTGGGAACTCAGGGACGGGCTTCAAACTCAAGTCTCCAGAGGCCAGGGGATTTTGGAAACAAAATCTGAGACGTAAGCCATGAATGAGTTCAAACTCAGGGGAGAGGGAAGGAGGATGAAGCCAGCGGGAAGCATTTCCAAAGGAGAACAGCGCTGACCCAGGACAGATATGAAAGCTGCCTGCACGACATCATAAACTACCAGAGAGAGCGCAAGTTCAGGTGGGAGGGTAAAGGGACAGCAGGGAAAGGGCCGGATCACAGGGTCTTGTGGGACGTGGTGAGTCTCCAGATGCCAGGCAGATAGATAGACAGATAGACAATGATTACATGACCCAAGTTCCACATCACAGAAGTTCACTTGCCACAGCTTCCTGTGAGAGAGGAGTATTGCTCATAGGATGAAGATACATCATGGTCTACAAATTCAAGTTCAGCAAAACAGGCACAAGGAACAACAACAACAAAAATGACTAATAGTAATGTAACCTCATCCTCCTCTCAACAAATCAAAATAAGCAAAGCAAAATACTATTAGAAAGATTAGGAAAGTCACTCTCATGCCTAAATGGGAGAATCAGTGCCACTGGAATCTCAACAGGACAGGGCAGGGCAGGGCAGGGCAGAGCTGGGCTGGGCTGGGCTGGGCTACTGGCCCAGGTGTAATCAATGACTCTCTTAAGAAAACAAGGAAACAAAGTTCAGGTTTATAGTGTTTGCCTATTTCTGTGGTGTAAAGACTCTAGCTGTGGCAGATTTCAAGCCACGAACAGGCATCAGTGGGCTGGAAACACCTGGTTTTCAGGAGCTGGTACAGGCTGGATCCTGCATATCACAGGCTCAGAGAGTGCAATGAGCTAGGTTGGAGGTAGTGGATTTAGTCTTTGTTTTGGCTTTGCAGGGAAAAGATTGTATTCAGAGTTACAGTAGCTTTGCAAACTGACTGAGAGGAGAGCAGGGAAGGCAAGGGATATAAATGTACAAGGCAATCACGACCCGTCAGGTACAGAGCAGAAAATCGGCCCTTGAGATCAGTCAGTGTGATGGCAGAATCAGGCCCAGCAGACAGTTACTGCCCAAGCTCACTCCTTCTGTGAGTCCCGTGTCTGGTACTCTGGGCTGGGGCTGCCCTCTGGCCTCACCTTCTCAGGCTGAGGTAGACCACACCCGAGGCTCACGAGTGGGCAGGAGTACACACAGGTGCTGCCAGCTAAGTTTCACAGCTACCTTGCAACCTGCAGACTTTCTGACTCTACGTGAAGGGAGCACTCTGCCATGGGAAGGTGCGAGCTCCTGAAAGCCAGCAGGGATCCGGTGACAGAAAGAGAAGGTCCCACCGGGAAGGCCCACATGTCTACAAAAAGAAGGCTCAAGGATGCTGTGGCTGGACACGCGGGCTGATGGGATATTCCTGGTGAGGAGAGGCTTCCCACTCCCATGTTAATCAGCAGGAAATAGGAGGGGCAGGCAGGGAGGCCTTTTTATGTTCTTAATAAAGCCCCAAACACAAAAATACACAATGTACCGGGGCCATGTCTCCCTTTCATTGAAAACAAGCTCTAATTAGGCATCCTAAATGATTTTCAAATGATTTTTGGCCTGGTTATGTTATACAAAACAGGGCCGAGTGATTCAAACCTGCTGTCAATACAGAGGAGAGGAAAGAAAAATGCCAGCTATTCTGCAGCTGTATGACCAGAACATCGGCAGAGCTGCTTTCAAGAAAACCTGGATGCACAGACACAAGCCAAACTCCCCAAGCAGGAGTTAAACCAAATAAACCCGCGGGTATCATTTCAGGAGGGGATTCTTAAAATAGCAGCCAGGAATGCAGGGGTTCTTTTGGACAACTCAGATTCCACGCCTGTCCCTGATTTTGGTGAAACTATGCACTAAGAGTCTTGCTTTATCTAGTTTCTCTCTCAGTTGCCAGAAAGTTTCCCGCTCATGGAAGCAAGACTGTAAGCAAACACGCTGTGCAAGCCTAATGTGTACGGTGATGTTCCTTGCAGGGGCAGATGGAAATAATGAACACTGTGAAGCCCCAGGAGATTTATTCCAGGGTTAGAAAAAATATATCCACAGGGACAGGTTCAAAAGTGGGGAGTTTTCCGGTTACAGGACAGTCTTGTGCACAAGGGTGCAGCCAGCGGTGCACCTGTAACTCCAGTTACTCGGGAGACTGAGGCAGGAGGACTGCAAGTTCAAAGGCTAGTCTGGGCAATTTAGTGAGACCCTGTCTTAAACTAAAAAAAAAAAAATTAAAAAGGGTTGGGATGTAAGTCTGTGCTCCCTGTGGTTAACTCCCAGCAAAATACACACACACACACATACACGTCTTTATGGCTATGGTCATTTCAAAGAGATTCTGAAGGACAGGGACACAAATCTAAGCAGAGACACATCTCATGGGGATAGATAAAGCTTCAAGCATTCGAATCATTTTTTTTTTCTCTTTTTAAAATTATTTAACATTCAGCAAACAGCAGCACAGACACCAAAGTCCAAGTGTGCTTATGCGGAGTGTAAACATTTGCAGGTATCTGAAAGCGGAGTAGTCTTCTTCCAAAGACCCAGAAACACAAGAATCACTTGTGCGCACTTACTCTGCAAGCGAAGAGTCAAAATCTTACCAAGAGGAGTCCAGATGTAAATTCCATTTCCATTTCTCCTATTTCAAAATGTTGGCCCTAGCTCTTCTTGTTTTTGACAGTTCACTAATCTTTATTTAATGAGATGAAGAGCTTACTACCAAACATGGACATTTTACTTAAAGATTAGAATGTAAGTGCACGAAGAACTTACTCAGACCCGATCTGACCCAGTGGAGATTCGGTGATGAAATCTCTGGTCCAGCACCTTCCACTAGACTTGCTGCCATGGCTGTGGAAGTCACCTGTGCCCTGTACTAAGACCTTGAAACTTACTGGGATTGGGCCAGCCTGGGGCTTCACAGTGCAGAGCTCTCTAGGGCCGTGGTGTCTACAAACCTGTCACAGGATCAAGATGTCCTCTGCCCGCTGCCAGAAGCCAACCAGGGAGCTGCGTGGCAGGGGCAGAGCTTTCTGTCTCTCCACCCTGGTGTCGCTCTGCTCCCTGAGCTGTGAGCATTCACAGCCCTATGAAGTTGATTTCCGTCCCAGCTGACCTATGTGGCCACACAAGGTCATCCATCCACAGCCCAAGGTCACTGGAAAGTGATTAAGAGTTGTCAGGGCGGTGAGGAGAAAACCTGAGCTCTCATTTCCCTTTGGGCCCTCGTCTTCTTAGTTCTTCGAAAGAGCATTTATGGAACACACAGGCATGCTGTCCTCTGAGGAGGGAGAGTAAAACAGCAACACACTGGGCAGAAGTTGGAAGTCACAGCGCTGCTTCATGCAGTCTCGACTGGGTTTTGGACATGTTGCCCCCTTGTCCAGAATACCCTTTCATGCTTCTATGCACATCTTTTGACTTAGAAGTTGCTTCTTCCAGGATCTGCCTTGATGCCTTCCCCTCCCGGGTTAGCTTCTCATGGACACTTATCACAGCCTACAGCTTGTATCTATGGCCCCTGCTATACCTCAAGCCCTTTGGAGCGGCAGCTGTCCCTTGCTCATTGTGCCCCATCCTGTCGCCCTGCTCCAAGCACAGCAAGTGTCTGGCACCCACTGAGATTTCAGGGACCACACTGTCAGTAGAGTTGAATACAGACAGACACCTCCAGCTCGCAAATATTTTCTGATCCCTGTCATTTCTCTTAGAGAAATTGAGGTCAAAAATGTGTTGGTAAAATAAAGAAACTGAAAACCAACGAGATGGGGATTATAATGCGCATGCAGTGGGTGAACCGGTAACAACTCTTGCAAAAATGAATTCAAATGATCATGATCTTAGGTTGGAGCATAGCTCACTTGTGCCATGCATGCCAACCATGTGCAAAGCCCTGGGCCTGATCTCTAGCACCACACTAAGAAAATATAAATAAAAATTTAAAAATTGAAGTTGCCAACCTTTCTTGACATGCGTTTGTTTTCTAAAACATTGATATATGAGAACACAAACTCTCATGTAGATTTAGAGTGTGCCTATACAGTTCCAGGAAAGCCACATGCTTCCTTCAAGCCTAACAATAGTGATAACAGCTGCTTACATTGTCTCATCTAATCCCCCTTGTCAACACCCAGTGATGCACAAAAAAAGGAAAAGCACACAGCCCATCACCTCAGGCAACGCTCTTGTGAGACCAGCATTTACAAGGTCTACGACTGACACACACAAAAGGCTTCCTGACAGGAATGAAG